ACGAGGTGGCCACTGCAGTAAGGGAGAGGTTTCTGTATAAAAATAAATGATAATAGTTATAATAATAAATCAATCTAAAAACAAAAAGAAAGAAAGAACGCTGTGGCTATATTGCTGGCAGCCGGGAAGGGTCTCTAAAAACTAAATGCCCGGCAGTCAAAATCCCTTTTTCTAATCGTTTGAAAGTATTCTATCCTCATTTGGAATAACCAAGCGATCAGGAAAACAAAAACTGGCTTCGGAGCTGAGAAATGTGGTTGCTTGAGCATAGAGAAGAGTCGACACTGTTTCGACACTTAGAGAAATTTCGTGAGCGTGAGGCACGGGCACGATTTCACACAGGCTTAATACCAGGCAATCTGAAAACGGAGCTGGAAAGTTAAAAGACTTTTCTTAAGCTCCAGAATACATGAATACTAGCCTCGATTATTTTCCAAAACAATCGGAGAGAGAGTGCTTTGATTTTGAAACATTATTTCGCAACTTCGAGCCACCTTGAGCTAGACTCTCGACATAGCTTGATATACTGGTGGCGCTGCTGAATCTTGAGAAAGCGTTCCTCTAATTTTGCAAAATTAATGCCAATTCTCCTCAAAATATTCTATCATGGTTTAGTATTAGTGAATGACGAGAAGCGCGGACAGAGTTTCTTAACCAGAGGTTAGGTATCACTTGGTTTTGAATTCATAGCCTATGTTGTGGTCGACTCACGGGCACGGTTTTCTCCTCAGTCTAAATGCCCGGCAGTCCGTTTCAACATAAAGTTTCTCTTTATAGCCACCATTGAAATTATTTCATCGACCCTCAGAGTAGGCAAGCGGGTACAAAGGGTTCAATAAACCGTTAAACATATAATTAAGTCTGCCGGGTATTTAGTTTGGATGAAAACGTGCCTGTGAGTCAGTTTTCTAAGTGTCGAAACGGCGTCGACTCTGCTCTATGCCCAACAAACCACAACCGCTCAGCTGCGAAGCCATTCCTGTTTTCCTGATCGTTTGGTAATTCTCAATGAAGATAGAATACTTTCAAAGGATTGAAAAAAGAGTTTTTGCAGAAATTCTAGAAAATGTTCTGGCTGCCGGGCATTTAGTTTTTTTAAGACCCTTCCCGACTGCCTTGCATATAGCCACAGCGTTAGAAAAGTCTAAGAACCTGCAGTTTATTTTAGAAGCTCTCTGACGGTGCAAAATCCTTACAAAATGTGAATGAATGAATAAATGCCACGTTTTCATTGTAACCGCATCAAAATGATAGAAATGCTGATTGAACGTTCTGCACTGTCAGGTCCACAAAACCATATAGCGAGGGAGTCCGATCGTCTTCATAACCGATTCTATGAAACTATCGTTAAACATAACAAAGGGTGTAAAAATTCCCCTAGCATCCTTAAACAAGGTAATGTTAAACATATGATCATTCGCAGATATGAACTAAGCGATCAATAGGAACTAGTTAGGGTAGTTAAAAGTACCCACCTCAGGAGCCATTCGTTTCTTTTTTGATTTGTCAACAACTGCATAAAAGTGATCGTTGCACTCAGTTTTGCTATTTGGATCCTGTTCACTCGTAGCCTCGTTGCTGTTCATTTCCTTTCCTTGTTCCAAAGATAAAGGATTCAAATCCTCCACAGGATTCTCACCCAGAGTCGAACTCTCTTCTGCGCAGGTAACGCCCAGGCTCTCATCCCAAGAAACTGATGCTTTACCAAACATCGCCTTACTTTCTTTAACAAGCACGTTGGCGTAAACGTGATGCCCCTTTTCCTCTCGATCGTTGCCTTTATCACACCTCTCCGTATTCTCCTTCAATACATATTGGTCTGCCGAAATGTGCTCATCTTTTGAGGGCGGTCGAACTTCTCCTACTTCGGAGCTGGATGGACCTTCTTGGTCAGACTTGGATTTTCGCTTACTCTCATCTATAACTGCATAGGCGTGCTCTTCGTTGTCTTCTCCGAGAGTATTAATGGTAATAACCTCTTCCTGCGCTTGTGACATGCTGAAATGAACTTTAAGTTTGGTGGAGCTATGCAGGTAATGTGTTTGGTCACTGGATTGTTTTCTTGAAGACAAAACTTTAACAAATAAACACAATGTATGAAAAACTTAAAGTGCATAATGAATATGATTGGACTATGTTCACATTATACCGGATATCTTTCGCGCCTGCACGAAAACCATTTACTGGATAGGGCTTCATTTCACACACGGAACGGTGATCTCGGCGCGATTTCTGTAACGAGGCGAAGCTGCGCCGATCTCTAAAGTGGAGAGTTATACAGTAGATTGGTACACAGGATAACTTTTCGTGTCGGCACGACAAGCTGTCCGGCATTATAGTGTGAAGATAGCCTTAGTGTAAAATAATAACTCTTGATGTGCATGCAGATTAAAGAAGAAATGCTAAAAAGGGATTATTTAAATGTGAAAAAAAAAGACAAAACAACTAAAATTCTGAAATCGAATTGACTATCGCAAAGGAATGCCAAATCTGTTTTATA